TGCCTTCCATGTGTCTTCTTTTTGTTTTTGTTGCTTCCACTTCTTTGATGCCGAGGTGAGATATCCCCATCCCTAGCCACTTTATCAAAGCATATGTCCAACATATTTTCTTCCTCATCCTCATCAAAAGAATCATCGCCCAAATCACTTTCATAACCCCTAGTTGGACTAAATTCTGATGCTAAGGCCTCTTGTTCCTTCTTCTTTGCAATTATACTTTTAGGTACAAATTTCAAAGCTTGTGGACTTAATTTTCTATTCAAAAGCGGAGGTGAAACATGCTCTTCTTCATCGTCAACCAAATCTGCCCATCTAGGAGTACTCATCTCCCTTTGCTTTTCTTTCGAGCCTCATGAGCTGAGGTGTTCGATGTGACCATGGGTGACTTGATCGCTAAATTGGGTTTGAGCAACATGGCAGCCTCACTTTCTTGAATAATATCAAAATCGGCTCGAACCAAAGTTTGTTCATTCATGGGATTAGAATCAACTAACTCTAATTCTTTCTCCACCTCAAGTGCTTCAAACGGATTTGTACAAACAATGTCCTTCGGTTCATTAGATTGCACTACTAGATTAGTAGTTAGCTGATGCTTATTTTCAAGACGTGAAGATTTACTTCGACTTGCCGAGAAACCAATACACATAGAAATTGATTTTTTTATGCAATTGTGTTCCAATTCCCAGTTGCATTCTCATCACGACCTGATATTTCAACTTGCAAATCGACAGGTTCCAAAGGTTGCAAATCACCACATTTTGATCCTTCAAATTTTTTATGTCCATCAATTGCCAAATTCTCAAGTTGCACATCAGATTTTGGCGTCTGTATAGCATCGTGAAGTTTCTCAGGAGTATGCTTATCACCTTGCCTCATACTTGAATTTTCAGCAGCAACTTCCTTCTCTTTTCTCTAGTTAATTTTTTGCGCAAATTGTGCATCATTGGATTGATTTGTATCCACAACGAGTTGCTCTTCAACTTCAATACGATCAGCTGAATTACAACTTTCTTGATTGGGAGAAGTATTCTTTTTCCGTGAAAACTCATCAGTTTGAGGAATTAAGGATAACATTCGATTCCCGGAAGAGTAGTCGTCTAACACTGCTTTGCCCAAACACTGGCCAGAATTTTGGCGCACCAAATTTTGATCTTGAACACCACTCTTTTCAGCCCCTATCTGTAAATCTTTAACTGTTCCTTCATCATCCTTTTCACCAACTTCCAACCTATTTGAATCAGCTTTTTTAATTTTTTCTCCTTCAATATGGTTTTCACTGACCGTGGCATCAACTTGACCATCAGTGAGAGTTCGACAATTAGCTTCTCTATGCTTACAATAATATGGTAAATAATCGTACCTGATTTTTTGCCATACGTTTGTAATCTCGTTGGTGACTAAATTTTTTATTTGAACTCTAATTCTTTTTGGAAGCGTCCTTAACAGATCTACCTCGACGACTTTTACCCTTGCAGTACTAGGTCGTGTTTTGTATTAAGAAGTTGTCCAACTGCTGAAGCCATCGAAAACTGTGCATTACGAGTAAAATATAGACATGGTAAACTTGGGAAGGAAATCCATGGAGGTTTCTTCCCTAGGACTAAAAGAAGGAGTCCACTTTTTGGATTCTGAACGGTATAACATTACCGGCAAACTTAATGGACCTACTAGTTTTTGAAAAGATTGCAATATAATCTTCCTTCAAAGTGAACTGCAACAGCACATGTCGACTTTCTAATAACCCAATGTTACATTCACCCTTAAATCCTAATTGTTGAGGCAATATTTTCCGTAAATCTGGAAGTTCAGGCCTTCCATGTGAGAATTTGGCTATGAGAGCGAATTTTAGATTCTCCTCCGTGATAAACGTTTCAAGGTCTTTGGAGTCAAAAACCACTGTGAAAAAGACTGACTGGTTTAAGAAATTTCTCGTAGATTGTTGATTTCGCTGATTGACGAAGCATATGTACGACATGTATTAGGGTTGACGCGTGTTTGTCTCTCCCACAACCATAGACTGGGGAGAGGGCACCATATTTGATTGAGAGAGAAGAGAACTTTTGGGTTTAGGGTTCTCGTTCTCATTGCTTGGGAAATTTAAATCTAATTTTATACCAATTAATGTATAAAATATTCAAGCTAATTAAAGAAAACCTCAATTTTATGTTTGTAATTATCTAGATAGTAATATGTGAAAAAAATTAAAGTTAAAAAAAAGTAGTCAACACCTAAAAAAATTTGTAAGCAATCAAATATAAATATTTTAAACACATTTCCATCAATTGTCGTAAACTTTTTTAATCAAAATGTCACAATAAATTTTAACTTCTACTCATATATCTTGAGTTGTATACAAAATCTGCAATAGGTGTATTATATCATGTTGTATATACATGTTTAAGAAAGAATCAAGTGAAATGTATGAATATCATACGATAACTATAATTCTATATTAAAAGAAAAAATTCATTATTAGAAAGCTTCCATTAACATGTTCTTATTTTTCGCCCATGAAAAAATATAATAAGCTTCTAACGCTTCTTCGTTCTCTTAAATGTCTTTTTTAATGTATATTTTATTATTTTCACATTAAATTTTGATATGATATATGAGTAAGTGGATAGAGTTTATGCTTCTTTTATTTTTCATGTTAATTAATTTGTGATGATTGAAAATTGATTTATACATATGTGATATTCGTAGATTTACATGTAATTTAATCATGCTGTAGAATCTATATTATCTCATCATATCATCTATTATTTACCTTCAAGAGAAACAAAACTTTTTTTCTCTATTTTTTAATTTTGACACAAATATTTGTATCACAGGAATAACGTTTATATAGAAAGTCAATGAATTAACAAATAATATTTTTTTCAAAAAATAATTAAATATTACATGATTCGATATTTACATGCAACACACGTCATCGAAGAACTACTATACATATTACATATTAGCGTGAGACTTTGTTCATTATATATTTTTTCCATTTAAATTGTTTATACTATAATTAAGAAGCTAGAAAATAGTCTTGTTTCCTTTTTAACTATTTAATAAGTGTGAGTGTCTTACACAATCAAAAGGTAATTATAGAATTTGTCATTTCATTTTTCTAACACTTTTCTAAAACAATCTATCGATTGTACACCACGTGAATCTGTCATTTGAACGATAGATATCATTATCATCCTTTTAGGTTCCATTCTTCTGCAATCAAAAATCAATTTTTAATATTGTTTTACAATTTAATGTTCACAAGTTTGTTGTTGTATAAGCGTGAGACTTTTTTAATTATATATATATATAAAAAATCGTTTGTATTGTAATTAAGAAGGTAGAAAATGGTCACTTTTAAAAAAAAATATTTAGTAAGTGCGGTTGTCTTGGACGATCAAAGGTAATTCAGAAATTTTTTATCTCATTTTTCTAACGCTTTTCTTCTAAAACAGTTTATCAGTTGTACACCACATGAGTTTGCCTTTTGAGCGACAGATGTTATTATCATCCTTTTAGATTCTCTTCTTTTGTAATAAAAGTTCAGTTATTAATTCCGTTAATACAATTCAAATGTTCAAAAGTTTGAAACGACAACACGTCAATACGAACTAAACATTCAATTTTTACTCACCAAAATTAACTAATTAATAATGTTAAATTCTTTCTCATTTTCATGAGAATAGTGAAGGTTAGACACTCCAAAACATAAATAAATTCAATATGTTATTAATTTAATTGAACTCATTGTTATTTTCGAGGTAACCTCTTAATCCGCATGAAGTATTAAACTATCAAAGGCTGCATTTTACACTCTTCTTCGATTTTGGCTGCTTCTCTGATTACTTCAATTTCGGCGACTTTTGTTCTTAATTCCGAAGTGTGAGTGATTTTATCGTGTATAAGCTTAATCGGAAACCTAGGGACTGTAGGGAGTAATAGTTTGGGTCATTTGTTTAGTGGAAATTTGAGTTTTTGATTGTATGGAGAAAGTTGATATGAAGGAATTGTGTCCTTGTCAAGATAAGGAAAGGTATCATGAGCTTGGTAGTGCATTGGAAGGATGTGTTCATTTCAATGAAGATTATAAAATGTTGTTGTTATATATAGAGCAGGGTAGAATTGCCTATGGTGGTTATAACCCTAGGCCTACTTCTACTGATGTTGAAGATGGGATTTTAAGTAAAAAGCGAGGAAATGAGGATAGGGATTTAGACAATAGGAAGCAAAGAATTGATATGGAGATTGTACCTGGTAACGAGCAGACAATGAAAGATGGGATCTTGAGTAACAGGCGAGGAAACGAAGATAGGGGCTTAGATAATAGGAATCATAGAATTGATATGGAGATTGTACCTGGTAAGGAGCAGAAGATAAAAGATGGGATTTTGAGTAAGAAGCAACTAAACAAGGATAGGGATTTAGACAGTAGGAATCATAGAATTGATGTGAATATTTTACCTGGTAAGGAGCAGACAATGAAAGATGGGATTTTGAGTAAGAAGCAACAAAACGAGGATAGGGATTTAGACAATAGGAAGCAAAGAATTGATGTGAATATTATACCTGGTATGGAGCAGAGGACTCAGAATGATAGCAAACTCATGGATGCGGAAGTAAAAATTGAACCTCAAGAAGATTCTGATTGTAAGTTATTTGATTCGTGCAAAAAAAAATTGCATATCAAGATATCATTGTGTTAAATCTTCATTTGGTAATAGTTGTTGTTTTGTTTATGAAGCTATTAAGGAGGCAGAATCTGAAAGTGAAGTAGAAATCCTTGAGAATGTAGGTACAGAGGTAGGTTGGGGCAGTAGCTCTAACCCCTTTGTACCTTCAGTGGAACGTTGCCTGAATGTATGATTTCAATTCTTCTGCTACTTTCACTAGTTCATTTGGTCCCTCTTTTATTTTATGTTACCTCTTAGTTTTGGTTCACCGTGATAATTCTTGTAACCATTGACTGCTAATTTTGTGTATCAAGCTGGATGCAACAATCATAGATTCTAGGTACAGGAAGGAGGTTTTGAATTTATTGATGACGCCCTACAATGGAGAGGAGTATAAGAAGCTCTGGAAAGACATTAGGATGCGATTACCATCTAGCTCAAGAAATGGACGTGGGAAATCCCTTCTATCACTCCATAAAGGTAGGTTAATAGCCTGCGGTTTGTTTTCCAGCATCGTGGCATCTTTTCGCATTTTGAATGTTTTGAATTGTTCTCAAGCCATACCTTGATTTCAAATCTATGTTGTCACTTTTAAGATAGCATCCAGTTCCATAGGATTCCTGCTCTCTCATTTAGACAACTTAATTATAGTTTCTTGTCTTGTTCTTTTGCCAAAAAATGAACTGAACTTGCTAGCAAATCTTTACCGATCTGATTGATAAAAAGTTTGACTTTTTTTATCTCACCTTCATGTAGCTCGTAGTAGAGTATGTTCTTTTCTTTTTTTTTGGTTGAATTTTGACTCGAATTCCTTGTTATTTATTTAAAACAAATGGTCCATCTAAAAAACAGGAAACAACCTGGTCGGCCCAAAAGTGACCAGATCTGGTGAATAAAAACATGACCCTTCATAATAGGGTTTCCTAATTGCATTCTCAGCTTCTCCCTTATAGAGTATGTTCTCCTTTTGTTTTCTCTACACTTTTATTGTTTTATTTTTTTGAAATCAGTAACTTTGTATCATTTCAAGGATCAAAACAGTACTTGGGTAGTACTGAAACCATATTTACAATAGAGCTCTAGTGTCTTTCCTTTCTAGCTATAAAGAATCTAGAACATCTATGATAGACACAGTATCATTAGAATAAATTTGATTACACCAAAACATAGCAGTAAGATGAAGTTCAACTTGATCTTCTGCACATCATTCTCTAAGCTCTCAAAACATCTGGAATTCCTCTCCTTCCAGATTGTCCACCAGATACAAGCTGGGACAATTCTCCATCTACTCCTATCCTTTGCATTTATTGTTTTATTTTCACTAGGTGTGGAAGAGTAGAGTGTTTTTAGTCAATTAAAAAGGGGAACATTCAGATATTTTTGTTTTTAAAAGTTCCCATCGATCATTGTTGTACCTTTTCAATTGACTCAACATTTTGTATGAACAAGGCATGATCAATGTAACTTTTGATACAAGATAATGTTTACTCACAAAGAAGTGCCAGGGGAAACAATAGTCATGTAAAGCAAGTGACCTCATCAAAAAGAAGAAGTCATGTATGGCAAGTGGATAAGTTGTGACTCCAAGAAAGGGAACAAAGAAAACATTCCTAGAAAGGAATAACTGCTTTAGAAGTCTGAAAGCCACGCCGAGAAACAAAAGACTTAACTTGCCAAATATGTTGAAGGTCATCGACTCATCGATAATCAAAACAGTGTCTCATTCAAATCAATGTTGTCAAAGGCTCATTTAAGGCGCACTTAAATGGCCTAAAGCACATAAAGCTCATGGAGGATGATTCTCCTCACTTAGCTGCGCTTCAGTGTAGGCAACCCATTATTTGCATCGATTACTTATGACCTGTTACATCCACATATTCGGTACTGTGAGAAATATAGGAAAAGAATATTATTGAATTGTGTTGTTGTGTCTACATTATTACATTGAGATCCTATTTATAGACACTAGAATACAATCATTTATCAAGTAGGATACTATTTACTATTCCTATTCCTATTCTAAATAGGATTGTATAAATCTATTCCTATTCTAATAGGATTGTGTAAACCTATTCCTATTCTAATAGGAATGTATAAACCTATTCCTATTCTAACACTCCCCCTCAAGCTAGTGCATACAATTCATGTACCTAGCTTGTTACATATGTAATTAATACGAGGACCAATGAGAGGCTTGTTGAGATATCTGCAAGTTGATCAGTCGACTTCACAAAATTGACAGTCAATCTCAATGTGCTTGTCTTCTCATTAAATATTGGATTTGATACATAATGTCAGTCAATCTCAATGTGCTTAATCTTCTCATGAAATACTGAATTTGATGCATAATGCCGATAAAACACAGAGTGATAAAATTATAGTGTTGAACTTCCCAAACCAAACTTGCAAAGACCGTTTCAGACCATAGAGTGAGTCACATAATCGACATACAAGGCTACTCAACTCCCCCTGAGCAATAAAGTGCTCAAAATCTAGTATAAAGTATATGGATCATGTTGGAATCAATAGATGAGTCCATATTAAACAAGTCACCGAAAAACTAGCCGAAACATGCTCATATGTCGGAGTATTAGATTTGATAGCTAAAAGTAGTCACAATCTAAGAAATAAAATTATATGGGTAGGGTCGGAATGATGTCACGATCCAACTAGAAAATTGAAATTATAAAGGATAGTTCAAATTGATGGAACAACCCCATTGAAAAAGAGAAATAATATGGGTAGGGTCGGAATGATGGCACGACCCTACTGAAAAAGAAAAATTATACGGGTAGGGTTGGAATAATGGCACAACCCTACGCAAATCAGATTTGAGAAGTCACCGGAAAGACGAATGGAACTATGCAAATCAAATCTGAGGAGTCAATGAAAAGACACATGATGCTATGCAACTCAGATATGAGAAAATAGTTCAAAAAAATTCACGGTACTACACAAATTAAATATGAAAAGTAGTCCGGAGAGATGCACGGTGCTACGCAAATCAGATATGCAAAAAAAAAATAGTAGTCACCGGAAGGATGGCACGGTGCTACACAAATTATATATGAAAAAATAGTCACTGGAATGATGGCACAGTGCTACACAAACCAAATATGAAAAAGTAGTCACCGGAAAGATCTCACGGTGCTACAAAAATTAAATATGAAAAAGTAGTCACCAGAAAGATG